ATTTCATTTGTTTAAAATGAAAAAAATTGCTTTAAACAAATTGTCATTGATTAAGTTCAACTTTAAATAACTAAAACTATTTACTTCCGAATATACTTTTTTAGTTAATCAACAAAGTTGATTAACTAAAATAGTATATTCGGGAAAAATTTGGAGTCAATACGGAAAAAACGAAAAAGCATCCGATAAATTTTTCGTTTTTTTTGAATGGTCTCCATAGAGATTCCGCAGCCAAATCCCGTACGGTTCCCGTTTGATCATCCCGTACATGTCATGTTATGACATGATAAGGTTATTCTCTAACATAACAACACACAACCCCATGTTGCAAATGTTGTAAAAACTACCTGGAGAATCTAAAATGGGAAGTCCTACCCAACCCGCCTATTAACCAGACATTGCCTTTTCCGATTACTTTTTTTTCCGGTCGATGACACATGGTCTGGCTAAGCAACAATTTTCTTTTTATAACGATACCAAAAAAATTTGCTCAAAAAAACAAGCCTTTTTAAACGTGGAATACCTGAAAGATGGAAGAAGTTCGTAGCTGCCAATGGACAGTACTTTGAATAATTTAAGTTTGAAATTCTTTTCAAAATAAAAAATAAAATGTAAAGTTATGCACCTTGGTTATGGAAATAGTAATCATAAATATTTAATGAATGACGGAAATACATCACTTACTCTGGAGGCAACGGGTATTGAGAGAGATCTGGGTATCTTTATATCTAATGATCTAAAATGAAATCAATTCATAAAGGTTAAACACACGTAAAGCGAATATGATACTATTAAAAAAAAAAAATTTAGATCAAGAGATATACAGCTTTGGAGTAACCTATACGTATGTTAGGCCGCATCTGGAATTCGCTGTTTCAGTATGGTGTCCTTACTTAAAATGTGATATCATGATTTAAAAAGATTACCTTATGTAATCTTTTTAAATCATGATATCACATTTTAAATTTTTTTTCTTCTGCTGCAATAGTATATCTTTTACTGAAAATGAGCTGCACGTTTAATTATTGATTCGTGCTTTAGCAGCTACAAATATTGTCTTTTTAGATATTTGTTATAGACGTAAACTTTAATTAAATGAAAGCAATCTTTATTCTCTTTTTCTCAGTTTTGGTATCAATTTACTTGCTATGAAATAACCATAAATTTTTGTATTACTTGTTGGTATTTTTTTTTTTTTTTTTTTTTTAATTATTTGTCATGTTATTTAAAAAGACTTATTTAAATATATTACTACTATTACTAAACTGATGATTTTTATTAAAAAACGCTCATTTTCAATGCGTACTCCCAATAGTTTTTGAGTATATTGACCGAACGTTTTTCTAAAAATTTTAGTTATTTAAATTAAAAACAAAACTGAAATTTTCAAAAAAAATTTAAATAAAGGAGTTTTTTTTAAAAAAAACGAACTCAATTATATAATTAACCCATAAATATTTAGCAAACTGAAACAGAAAATTACTTCAACAAACAAGGTACGCATTAAGTTTGAGTTTTTATTTAGGTCATTTATACAAATGAAACACGCATGAAACATTTAGAAACTCATTTGGATAATCATTACTACTAAAAAAAAATTTTTCAAAGTTTAATTATTATCTTCAGAACCATTTTATAGTTCTTCAGTTTATTAGCGAAATTCCATTTTTAAATATGAAATGCATCTTGAAAAGTCGGAAAAAATTAATTCAAAACATTATTAAACGTATCTAAAATAAAGTCAAAATCATTTTATGTATGTTTTTTTTTTATGACTCTAGATTCTAGATTATTTTATCTAGAGTCTAAAGTTTATAGATAAGTGAGGTTTCCAATATAAAACAATACATGTGACTGTACTGCTTCATATTGGAAGTAGAGTGAGTTTTTTTTGTGTATTTAGTTGCATAAAAGAAAAAGTATCGTCCTTATCTTATTTTAAAATAAAAAAAGGATTAGCCTTATCTTATTTTAAATGACTCGACATGAGTGTTACTATGTGCTATCTTTAAAATTAATAAAACTTGCAAAATGCTTCTTTTATCGTTGAACTTTTTGGCTTTTTTTCAACACAGCCTCAACCAATTATATAAACATATATAAACATTGTTAGCATAACATTGGGTAAATGAATAATATATTTAAATTGTTGAATGTTTTTTCGTCATTTTTTTTTTGTATTGCAATTTTTTTTTGAAACATGCTGCAGTGAGTTTTAAGTAACTTTTCCAAGTTAAATTTTTTATTGATAAAAGTACCTTTGTTCTTTTTATTATGATGTCATTAAATTTTACAGGTAAATCACTTATTTGTTTTTTTTTACTTTAGAAATAAGGGATTAAATTAACTTTTTCAATCTTAATCGATAGCTTCGTATTGAATATTGAGCATTATTTTATAGCATTCCTGAATTGCTAGAACTGTCTGAAAGGTCCGAAAATATTCAAAAATTTTCTAGAACTTTCAAAAAATCTTTAGAACTTTTAAGAAACTTTTAAACTACTGAATTCACTAAATTTTCAAATAAAGGGATTGTATTTGAAAGAACTGACCACAGCAGACCATAACGGATTGAGTTCTCAGTGGACAAGAGCAATATGCATAAGGGGTCTTCCATAAAGTACAGGGGAGGAGGTGTTAAAGACAGTACGCAGTTTTTCTGTTTCTTATAAATCAGTTTTATTTTTCTTATAAACTTTATTTCTTTTTTTTTATTAACAAAAGCATTGAATTTCACAAGTTTAATCAATTTTATTTTACGTAAGAGTAATGTCCAATTAACTTAAAATTTTATGTTTTCAATACTTTGAAAAATCTTTGCGTTGGGAAAAGAAAAATTTTTATGTAAATAATGCGTACGTACGCTGAAGGGGGAAGGGGTTGAAAGCACAATAAATCTCCTCTATCAAGTAGGTTTATTACAATTTCTTATTATTTTTAGTCATTATAAATCTCCTTATCAAGTAAGCTTATTTCAATTTCTTATATATTTTTGCAGATAATTTTACAAGTAAATAACTGATAAAATAAGGTTCTTTAGTTCTAAGGTTCTTTAAGTAAATAAAGCATAAAATCAATTGAATTTGTATATTTGTTTGGCTGAAACAAAATTTTAATAATTTTATTTAATTTTAAGTAATGTTTACTTTTAAATTCAATTTGTGATGCGTTTTAAATAGTACCTATAAAAGTTTAGTAAATAGTAAATTACAAAAACTACTGCTTCAATATTAGGCAATTTTCAACTATTAGGAATTGAATATTAATAAACAGTTCGTATGCATATTGCTTTGACGATTTTACGTCGGTATGTGGTCATGCAAGAGATAGGAATTCGATGGTGATTTTTACGCTTCTACACTTCTGATTGAAGACTTTATAAAAACTTCGCTGAACATCAATAATTTCTACACTGATTACACAAGAAATTGGAGAAATCAATGATGAAGAATTGGATATGCCTATAAACCAAATTAAATTGCACCTTATATATGATAGCTACTATTCCAATAACGATAAACCAAAGCATAAACTTAAGAAGCTTCTTTACCTCGTTGATGCCAATTACCAAACCATATTTGTTAAGGGCTGTGTTCTAGGTATTCAAACTTTATTTTACTTTAATAACTGTTTTAGTTGTTAAAGTAAAATAATTTAACTTCCCATTTAAAGTTTATCGAGGGTCAGCGATGTATTTACTTAATTGATCAACCATGTTTTCTACTAAAAATTGATAAAAGGCATGACCTATAAATTACTTTTAAGCAATATTTTCAAAACGAGCTATACCCTGAAGGATATAGCTACGCAACACATTTTTGTATAAGAATTAGGCAAAAATATGGCAAAAATTAAAAAATAAATATGGCAAAGTTAAATTAATTTTATCTTGTTTAAAGGACCACAGAAATTTAGTTAATAATACTAAACTATTTAATAATATATAACTACAGTAGAACTCTGTTAACTCAGACCCTGGATAAGTCGGACTTTTACTAAGTCGGACAAATTTTCAATTGCCTTTAAATTTTCTATACATACGGAAAGCTACGCTTAACTCGGACATTTGTTAAGTCGGACAAAATATATATACCCGTTCAGAGTCCGTGTTAACTGGATTTCACTGTATAACAACTAAATTACCACATTTTGTAAATTATCTTACAAACTAATAATACTTATTTACAAGGACGCTGAGAGCTTTGACGTCACCTGGGACAGCAACCATAATTGATGCCTTTATTTTTTTTTTAATTTTTTTATAGAAATTTTTAAAAATATTTAGGCGCACCTTGGACATCTGCCGCAAGGGACAAGCTATCCCTTTCGCCCCGTTCGGCGCCCCTGCTTATTTAGAAATAACAATTTTAGATTTAACAAAAAACACTAGATTTTCACGCCCCTGCTTATTTAAAAATAACAATTTTAGATTTTCAAAAAAACACTTATTTTTTATTTTAAAAAATTGAGGCGACCATAATTAACATATTTTTGAATCAACAACAACAAAATAAAATTAAAAAAATTATGTGAAAAACTTTTTTTTTTTGTTTTTCATTCAATTATGAATAAAAATAATAAATACATTTTTTAATCATCTTGTATCACTTTTTTTTGAAAAAAAATTAGCGTTAAGGCGAGTTCCACTCATCCGTTTTTTCACGGAAACGGGAAAGGGACGGGAAAAATAATCACGTGGGCATGCGTAGTATAAGTTTTAATATGTCCGAAGGAAAACTACGCATGCTCACGTGATTATTTTTCCCATTCCTTTCCCGTTCCCGTGAAAAAAACGGATGAGTGGAAACTCACCTTAAAAATTAAATATAATGAATTGTTATTGAGAATTCTAAAAAAAAAAAAATTTAAGTTAATTTTAAAATAGTTTTAATGTCTATGGCTATATTTTAGCTTCGCGCCATTATAGAAACCAAATTCTAAGACTAAAATATCCTAAAACAGATCTTTTTAGAAATTAAGATTTTAATAATTTAACTTTATTTTTACTTTTAAACATATATGGGTATATATGCTCTATTAATGTATTTTACCATTAATATATAATATACATAATTAAAAAAAAACAAAAAAAAACTACAAAACCGAAAACAAATTTAAGACAAAGAAAAATTGTTCTATAGAGAAAAATTAAATTTAAATAAGTTGGTGATTAAAAAAATGTTGAAAAAGAAAAAAAAAGAAAAAAAAAAACCAAAACCAGATACATGCTAAGGAAACCCAATTACAACTTTTCCACATGATTTTTTCTCCATCAAATATTTATAGCTTTCAATACCATCATCAATTTTAAATACACGATCAACCAGAGGTAGTATTTTTCCTTCTTCAACTAACAGCCGAACATTATCTAAAATTAACCCGCTGGGGTTTACAAATCCCCAATAATACAATCCTTTTCCATCATTTATTTGACATGCTAATGTACTGAAATAGTTTTTAGCAGCTTTTAGTAAACCAAAGGGCAATCCCAATTGATCTACATCACCTAAAATAGTTGGACTAAGAGAGATATAAAATGAGCTCTGATCTTTTTTTAGAAGATTCATAAACTCCTCCTTAAATGCTTCTTTTAATGTATCAAGAATGACATCATATGGACCAGATGCTGAAAGATCTTTAAAATAAGATTCTGACTCATAATTTAAAACATTTTTAATTCCAAGTTTGTGTAATGCATTTATATTTTGTTCACTACAAGATGTCACTACATCATGACCATACGCCATGCATAACTGTGTAGCAAATGAACCTAAGCCTCCTGATCCACCTGGAATAAATATTCTTTTTTTTCTCTTAAAAGTATTATTAGAAACAGCACCTGAATTTACAAGTGCATTCCAAGCTGTACATGAAACATATGCAAGAGAAGCTGCTTCAATGTAAGACAAATTCTTTGGTTTTAGACTTATTTCATTTTTATTTACAATAACATATTCTGCGTGCGTTCCTTGGCCCACCACCCATCGAGTACAATACACATGACTTCCAACAGCAAGACGATGAAACTGCTTTCCAACAGCAACAATTTCACCAGAACAATCACGGCCAAGTATTAGAGGAAACTCAGGAATATTTTCTGTCTTACGCAAAAAATTTATTGCTGTACTGCCATATCCTTTGCTCATTTCGATATCAATTGGATTAACAGAAGCAGCATGAACCTTAACAAGAATCTCATTTGGTTTGAGGTTGGTTTTAGTAGATGCAATTTTGCTAATATTTAGACCAGATATGGTAGGTGCATAACTTTCTAATTGAATACATTTCATTTGAGATGGAATATGAATAAATTTACAGAAGACTTTTATTGGTGTTTGAAAGACTTTTCTGTGTAAAATCATGTTGGAAAACAATAATCTAACTTTATATGTATCTATGTATCTATTTTGTATATATGTATATAAATTAGTAAAAGCACTTATCTAATTTTTTCTTCAACAAGCTGCTTCTCATTTTGAACCAACAGAAGGAAAAGCAGCTTATTGAAGAAAAAATTAGATAAGGGTTTTAAAAATTTATTATTGCTCTGCTCTTTAAGAACATTGAGCATTCTATTTGTAGAACATAATAACATAACATAACATTATATATATATATATATATATATATATATATATATATATATATATATATATATATATATATATATATATATATATATATATATATATATATATATATATATATATATATATATATATATATATATTATGTGTATATATCAATAGTCAAAACTATAAAGAAATGTGTTCATGTATAAAAGAAAATTACACTAAAATTCATATGCAATAAACAATAAACTACATAATAAACAGTAATATTGTAAAATACTTTACAATAGACTATATAAATACAAAAATAAATAAGATTTATTGGATCCACACAACATTTAATATCATGTAATTTAGAATCTAATAAAGTAATAATGACATGTGAAATAAGAGCTATTTTATTTGACTAATATATAAATACAAATTGTAAAAATCCATTGTACAATAATAAAAAATAACTCAGTGGATTTAAACCTATTTTGCCCTGCAACTGCCAAGAAACGAAACATTGAATTTTTAAAAATATATAAAACCATAATAATAATTATGACCAACTTGGTATTTTTAAGCATGATTAATCATACTTAAAATTTACAAATTACATTTTAAAAATGTGAAATTCAATGTGAATTCAACTTTTTTATAGTTTTGTTTATGCAATAAAATAATGTCTTATTGTATATTGTTGCATAAATAATCACAAGTATATTATATATATATATATATATATATATATATATATATATATATATATATATATATATATATATATATATATATATATATATATATATAAAATATAAGTAAAGCAATATTAGTAATATTGTTAAATATTACTAATATTTAAAATATAAGTAAAGCAATATTAGTAATATTGCTTTACTTATATTTTAAAATTATTTGGTTACTAAAAATCTATTATTATTTTTGTATAACTTGTGATTATTTATGCAACAATATACAATAAGACATTATTTTATTGTATAAAAAAAACTTTATTAAATAATTGCAAGTTGTACAAAAATAATAATAGATTATTAATATTATTAATAATCGATTATTATTTTTGTACAACTTGCGATTATTGAATAAATAATTGCAATAAATATTGTTGCATAATAATATTATATAATAATTTTAAAAATTTATAATATATATTATATTAAAAAATAGATATATATTAATAAAAAATATATACATATATATTAATAAAAAAACTGTTTATTTACGTTTGCCACAATTTTAATATATACACTAAGTCTACTGAGCCGTGGATAGGATATATTATATAATATATCAATGGGGCACACATAATTAGGGGGGAGGGGGTCCATTTGCAAGTTTAAGAATTTGCAATTTAGGGGTCCATTTGCAAGTTAAGAAGCCTTTAATTTTTTTCAGTAATACCTAGAGGAAATTTTTTTTTTAATTTTTTATTTAACTCCTATTGGGCTGGCCGCTTTTCCTTGTGTTTTAACCATATTGGACCGTTAAACCACACGTCTGACAGCTTCTCCGGAAACAATCCTCCTGTTCCGAGATCACTAGGGTTTTCTTTAGTTGGAATGTATAGCAATTACACTTCGCCATTCGATAAAATATATCGAACACGGTTCCTTACAGATTGTAACCAACTGCTATTTTCTTTTAACCAATAAGTACCGCAGTACTGTTGACCCAATTATATACTTTGGAAATGTTATACTTTATTAATGTATTCCAAACATGAGTCATCAACTTGCTTTAGGTATGTGCTACTACCAACTCCAGTCTTGGAATACTAATATCCTTCGGTGCAGTTTGTGCTTTTGCTACAATTAAATTTCTAGTTTTTGAATTTTGGTCACTTATAACAGATGCACATACTCTAATTTACTCGCATAAAAAAATCCATACAGCTCCACAAATAACTCTTCCAAATACAACGCTCCGCGAAATTCTTTTGTTGTTTATTGCTTATATTTAGTTTTTAAATTCTTCCGAAAGTTCGTTTGGTATTTCTTAATTCCATCCAACATTTGATAAATATAGTCAACTGTACAATATTTTTACAGTAATTAATACAAGTACCCAAATTCCAACACGTCAAAAACAATGCTGATAGCGCATAGCATTTTTGTTTTTGTTATAACTTCTTTATTTTTGTTACTGATACAAGCAGTAAAGTCAATGAATAGTTAATTGTTTCTTTATTCCAAGGAAGTCCAAGTATTTTTGTTGATTCGTACTCACCGTCATTTTCAAGTTTATTCACGTTACTCTGCCATTTGTGCAGCTGGAACCCTGCTTCCGTCAATATTGCGTTGGTTCATTTTTAAACCTGGTAAGTTTTTCCAGCTGCGTGCAGATCATCAACATTAGTATCTTCTTTCAAGGCCAACACTGTTTATGGGTAGATATCCTTGTATTTTAATATATGATTTTTAATGGAGCACCGAGAATATATGGACTTAAACTGAAGCCAAAAGTTACACTTGTGAATTGTTATTCTAATAATTTCATTTTGTTCAAGTCCTTGTACCAAATAATTTGCTGTGCACCTTAATCCGTTTTGTGAATTCAAATTTGGAGAAATCGTTTCTGTATGACAAATAATGTAGGTTATATAGAGAGCGCTCGCTTCATAAACGAATGGTTCCGAGTTCGATCCCCACCACGTCCCTGGTAGTACCGCGCTCAACTTGTTTTTCCGCGCAGCGCCCTTGTTCGTCAAGGTTCGTGTTTTGGAGTTATAGAGTTGAGAGAGGGTTATAGCCACAAAATAAGTAGCCTCCTCTTCTGTAGTGGCCTTCTCGGCCTTGAGGAGATGAATTAAAATAAAAAAAAAAATAAAAAAAAAAACTGATCATTTTTTTTTTCGAGCTGTACAATCATAAACAAATCTCGTTTTTTTTGACTCGGCATTTTCTTTGATTATCGCTGATAAAGAATGTAGTGAATATTCTCTCCCGTAGGTTTTTTTTAGTACTGTTTCTAATATTCCTTAATTGATCTGTTGCATCATTATGTCATCATACTCTTCAAGTTTATATAGTTTTTCCAATCGAGTTAACCGTTTAATAGCCAGATCCTTGTTGTCTGGCAGTTTGACAACATCCTTTTTTGAGGGTATTCCAGTTTCATGATGCCCTTTTTTTGGTTTGGAGCAGTTTTTGGCTAAAATCTTAGTGGAACTTTGATTCACTGTTTGTATCCAAGTACTTCTAGAGTAGACATTTGCTCGAACTCATCACGACCAATAATTAATAAGAAAGTCTTTTCAATAGCTGAACTTAATTGTATACATCTCCCAGCAAGAGTCCATCTCAACATAGGTAGTTCTGCTCCAGGATCCTTGTGTGTATTTTTTCCGATAATAACCGGCTTTGTAGTTTTTATTTTCTGATAATCAGCAACTACGAGTATTATATGAACAGGATTTAATTCATTGCTTTCTTCATTGTTACTGAATATTAGTCTTCTCAGTTTTGAAATTTCACTTTTTATTTCTTTGACCATCGGATTGGGTAAAAAGGTTAGTATTTTTTTTTTCGCGATGGTGCATTCAATTTTGATGTAAAATTTCAGTAATGTTGTTGATTTAAACGTAACATTATATATATATATATATATATATATATATATATATATATATATATATATATATATATATATATATATATATATATATATATATATATATATATATATATATATATATATATATATATATATATATATATATATATACACGTTTTTTCACTGTTCCATATAGCTATTCAATGCTTTTATATTCCTTCCGTTTAGGTTTCAACTTCAGTTTAGTTAACAAGTTCGTACATACATATGAACTTCCTGCACCTAAATCCAACATTATTCTTGCTTTTTCACATTTTACTTTTACAATCATTGTCGCGTCAAGCATCGTTCTTATGGTTTCTTATTTGTTATAATCATCCATTGTTGCATTGACATTTAGGCAGATTGACGTGTGATGTTTTTTATTACATTTCCTGCATCTATTTCATTGACACCTTGCTGTAGAGTGTCCATAACCAATACAACTGTAACAATCTTTTAATTGTTAAAATCTTCTTGCGTCTTGCAACGTTCATCAATTTTGTGCAATCTTTGCTTTATTATTATATATATATATTTCGTCAATAAACAATCATTTTACAATGTTTTTTGTAAAAATTAAATATTTATATTCTGACAGGAGCAAGCAGAAGACAATGTGTTTTATCACCCTGCTCCTAAGTTCGTGAAAATATCAATAAAGTTTTACGTATTAACTTCTTAAAATATACGTTGTATAAGTTTTATAAATATTGCAAGTTTTGTACATAATACAACACATCACAGTTCACAAAATATACATAGGCTCCAAGCATATATACGTGTTAACAAATCAATATATAAATGTTTTTTTAAAAATACAAAAGAATGTTTTTATTATTTAAATCTAATAAGTATAGTTTAACGGCTCTTTTAAATAGTTTAATTGAAGTCATGTTTTTCATGTCTCTATTCAGGAAATAGTTCCACAAACGTGGTCCTTGACATGTTATTGAGAAGTCTGTTTTTCTAATGATTTTGTAACCCACAGTAAATAAAGCATGTACACGAAATAAATGTGAAAGTAGAAAAATAACTAAAAAAAAGTACTCTTCAATTTTTATATCTAACCAAGTAATAACTTTAACACAATAATATAAGAAGATCAAATATATAAAAAAATCAAATTATTCCTGTGGGAATCTAATAAAATTTCGAACTTTTGCTTTGGTGATACCCATAAGCTTGTGCACAGAATAAGAATTGAAGTCATTTGATGCTTTTTTAAATGATATTTTAATATCTTTAATAGTTCTGGTCTTTCACAGGTCTCTTATCGTGTGATTTAATGAAAGGTAAAAGGCGTTTTTGTAAACACTTTTTAACATATATTTGACCCGAAAGTGTGGACTGAGAAACATAAGGTGCTGATTTTTTGCCACAACTGCAAATAGCTTGCCAAATCAAGACTTTTTTTAGCAAATTTGTCGTGTTTTATGTATTTAAATTTCTTATCTGCTTTTCCTCTATTATATTTGGCAATATAATAGACGGCACCAGGAATTATATTTTCGTCTATTATATTTGGCAATATAATAGAAGGCACCAGGAATTTGCTGATGATCGTACTTGATATAAGTTTCATCGTCTTCAATAATACAGAAATTTTTTAAAATAAAATTGTCATACAACTTTCTGCAGCGGGTTTTTACACTTTTTTGTTGAGTTTCAGATCGGTTGGGCACTTTTTGTGCTTTGAAAGAATGAAAACCATGTTTATTTCGAACTTTTACAACAAAACTATGAGAAAGTCCATAAATGTTTGCGCTCCCTTAGTGAAAGGCTTGGGTTAGTCTTAAAACTGTTAACCAGTTTTCTAACTAGTTTTTTATCTTTAAAACCCTTCTTTCTTCCACCACCAGATTTACGTTTAATCGATTTTGTTTGAAAAAAACGTTGGATTATACGACTAACGCCAATATTTTGCTTGAATGCAGTGCTTCGATGTTCATAAGACCGTTATGTTGAGGTTGCAATAAAATAAATTTGATACCAGACAAAACAAAAAACAGTGCGACAATATTTGTCCCCCAAAAATGAAAAGAACAATAAGAGTAGCAAATGAAACTACTATAAATTGTTTTTATAACCTATTATCTTTTACTTAATATTGTCTCTCATTACTTGGAATCATCTTTAAAAATTACAAAAGCTAATAAATCAAATGATAAGTTTCTTAACAAGTTTCAATGAGTTCATAGTAAAGCTTTTCCGAAAACTACAAAATTTGTCAAAACAAAAACAAAACAAAAACACTATTAAAGCCGTGGATAAAACATGGTAACTCAAATCCTCTACAAAAAAAAAAAAAAAAAAAAGTTTGGATAATAATTTTATCAAAGGAGAACACTTTAAAATGAAGCCATCTATAAAACTATGTGGAAATGCAAAAATGTAAACGTCTTCTTGAATGGGGAAAAAATATTGGAGCTTTCTTGTTTCCTAATTTCATTTTTACTGTATTACAATTTTTTGCAAAGCGTTCTTATTTGACATAATTATAAACAAATGCTTAGAGTTTGTTCCATGTTTGTTATTGAAAGTTAGCTCAAATTGCATTAAAAATAATAATAATAAAAAACTTTGCATCCACCCGTAGTATCTAACAAGTTTTTGATTTGTGATTAATTATAAATAGGTGATCACTACTTATGGGGCTGTATTCAATAAATATCAATATGTACAAAATCAAAACATACTATTTTTTTTGAAAATTTATTTTTTATAAACAGATAAAATGGTACTTCAGGTAGAATTGATGTAGCCCGTCCTTTTTTTTTTTTGTTTGTACTTATTTAGGCACTCCCAGAGCACCGCGGGAGATCATTTAACTGGAAGTTCACGCCTCCTTCCGTCCCAATGTCGCTTGTTGGGCCAGAGCTGGCGTCGAACCGAGGACCTCTGGATTCTAAGCCAGAACTCTAACCACTGCTACAGTCAATCTTCTAAACTCTCAATTTAAATCCATCAAAATTGCAAAGCCAAAAGCTTTGCAATTCCACTAACAAAATCTTTTTGAATCTTTTAATTCTGGATTAGTACCCTCTCTGTGGAAATTAGTAAATATTAATCCGGTCTATAAAAAAAAGAGATAAATTATTTGCTAAAAACTATACCAGTAAATTATTATAATTATAATAATTTACTGTTAAGTTATTCAGGTGGTGATCAGATTTTTGTGCCAATTTATTATGAGATTATAACGAGACATTTTAACAAAATTAACGATTACTACGATATTATATAGATTACAACAATACATTTCAACGAGAACATTGAAAAAGTAAAATAGTTTGTACCAAACTCTTTGTTGGGATATAACCGCCAAAAATCTGGGTATCAAATCCCCAAAATCAGAAAAACCTCTTGAGAATCAAAAAAGAAATGATTGAATAACTCAAACTTCAAATATTTTAAATTGCAAAATGAAGAGTTTAGAAAACTATCACTAAGAGAAGTCGTAAAAAAAGTTCATTTGTAACCACTGAACCATTTCAAGAATTATCGAGAAATATAAAAACTATTTTGCTGTAAATGAAAAAGAAAAATAACAAACAATTAGTGAGTCGTCTAGTGTTTATAAAAATAAAATAAAAAATTAAAAAACTTTATTTATTACAAAAAAACCTTTATAATAAAAAAAATATTCTTAAGATAGGTCTGCATTAAAATTGTACTTAAAACAAATTTGTTGACGTTAATATAATAGGCATTGATTTGTTGACGTTAATATAATAAGCGTTGATTTGTTGACGTTAATATAATAGGCGTTGATTTGGCAAAATTATATATAAAGAATACTTAGTTTTCAAAACTCTCTTCTCAATACTAAAGATGCTAGTTGTAATTACTTAGCAGCCTCATTCGGTAAACGTGAATTCTGTAAGTCCAAAAACCATCACAAAGCCACCAACCTGCGTTTACCTTTACTTCAAGAAACATGGTCTCGTTAGCATCTATTGATGTCAATAATATACTGTTGACTGTACCTATTAAATTGTAGCGAAGATTTTCTCATTAATCTAAATAATACAAATATGACAATAAATTTAAAATACATTTATTAAAGAAAATTATTATAGCATATTTTAAAAAAATTTATTAAATACACAATACTGACAATACTCGAGATATTAGAAATCCGTGCCCCAATAATTTTCAAATAAATTTTATAAAAAAATTAACAATGAATTAAGTTTATGTTATTGACAAAATATACTGCAATTTTTAAGTTGCAATTGCATTTACCATATTTTAGTCATATTTTGAAAATCTGGAAAATTGTTGGAATAAAATATTCGGAAAAAATCCGGAATTTGTTTTCCGGATTTATATATATATAATTATATATAATTAATATAATATATATATATAATATATATAATTCACTGCATTCTGTTATAATCATATGGTCACAATCAAGCGTTGTCAACTAGCGTAAAAACATGTAATTTGTTTACAGAGGATTGTGGGAAGCCCTGATAGTATAACATTTAAAAAACAAATAAAAAAACGAAAACAACAAATTTAAAGTTAAAACAAACAAAGGTTAAAAAAATGCTAAGAAAAGCAAATGCTAACAAAATAAGAATAAAATTATTAACATATACTTTTCGTTGTATACTAATTGTATAGCAAATGCAAACAAAAAAATAAGAACAACATCAACTTTTTGTTGTATACTTTACATAACATAACTTTTGATACTTGAATACTTGAATTTTTGATACTTGAAAAATGTATACTTTACATAGCATAAACTTTTTGTTGTATACTTTACGTTGTATACGTCATATTATATAAATTAATCAGTAAATCAAATTAATATAAATATTCGATTTATTCCATTAGAAAACAAAAACACATCAGTTTGAAAAGTTGCACAATGGCCTACTTTAATTTTGTGTTTTAAAATGCTACAAAAAATAATAATAACATTAAGAACTACATTATATTAATTAAGCACTTGAAACTTAATGCTTAGTAAATTCAAGTAGTTACCTATCTTTGTCTCTTGGAAAACGAAAAAATGACAAATATTAATCGGCTATTTCCACTTGTATTTGTGGAGTTTACTGCTGCACAATACAAAGGCATTTCTTTATACTGAAAACTATTTTTTATTGAAGAGAAAACGTAATATAATATTTAAAAAACACTTTACAGTTTCATCCAAATTTATTAAGCGAGTTAATTTTTATACTACCAGGACATCCCATAATGTCTTGCGCATATGATTACATTTTAAACAATGTAAATATAAAAGAGTAGACAGCGCTTGGTCACTTGTTCTTATAAGGTTTGAAGGAAAGTGCTTTATCAAAGCTAACAAATAAGTTTTGACACACACCTTTCCCCTCTTCTAAAATTGTAAAAACAGATTAGGAATGCATAAAAAAGTTTAACATTATAAAATTTAAAAATATTCTTTAAAAAACAAAATTTTAAATGATAAACCAATATAAACTTAAAAAAATATGAAAATTAAAAAAAAAAAACACAAAAACTAAAAGAAAAATTTAAAATAATTTTAAAACATGCATAACCTTAAAAAACATACGTAAAAACTAACTATGACAGGTATCAGTTGATGTTTTATGTGAACAACTCTCTTTATTGTTCCAACAATCAACAAGTGAGCTTTGAGCTTGACCACAATGTTCTTTCGGGTGAATACTGCTATCTAAAAAGAATAGGAGCTTAATAGTCAATCATATACAAATAGACATGAGGCATGATCACATGCAATATAGTAATCATATGCAAATAGTCATAATCACATGCAAATAGACATTTTTAGTTCAGAAATCAAGTATTTGAATTAAGGTACTGCATTTTTAACCATTGCGTTTGTAAATGGAAGATTGTGCAAGTTTTGAGCAATGAAGTTTAATGTAAGGGAAGAGTAGCAACGTATTTAAAGAAAGAGATAAGAAGTTAACCAAAAATTAAGAGTTTGCTGAAATATATTCACTGATCATCAGCAGCAAATGCTAATTAACTATATATATAACTAATTAACCATAAAAAAATAACAAGCTTTAAAACTTTTAAATAAAAACTCTAATAAAAATAATTTACAGCAATTAGGTTTTTAAAAATTTCATTGTCAAGTCATATGTTGTGCAATTTAATATAAACTATATCTATTGTATTATTTCTATATCTATTGTAATATTTTTATATCTATTGTATTATTTTGAAACTTACTGCACCTTTAACATTGTGTAAAAACTTTTGCTACAATAATAAGTTAATGAAATGCTAAAAACAAACTAGAATTGACATGACTTTTTTTCAATAGCGAAAACTAGAGTCATAAAAAAATTAGTCAATACAAAAGGACTCCATGTATCTATGTGGGATCTATGGCCTTGTTCCCTGAATAAATAAGACTTATAAGACTATTTTTTGAATTTGAGTGTAAGACTTTTTGAATTGTATAAAACAGGGCTTGCAAAATGAATTATGCAGTATCTACTCGGTCATTATTAGAAGTTATCAGTGACAATTTCTTATAATGATTGACTGAGTACAAAGTTTAATTTAGCTAAAAACTGGAAATAAATAGAATATTCATTGTTAAGCTGATTCAAGAAACAAAACTAAAAACTGTCATTTTGTTGATGTTGAAAATCATTCGGTTGTGATAAGAAGTTAACAAATGGCTGTTGACTTTGGTTGTAATAATAAATGTTTTTCAATCAAAGAACAAAGAGTGATGATTTAAAGTAATCAAGGCATTTACCTATCTATTCTTCAATATTCTTCAAGGTGTTCACCAAGGAGATTTAATAAACAGGAGATGCCGTAGTATATACTTTATATAAAACGCAATAAAGCCAGTTTTGAAAGTCAGCCATCATTTTGGTTAACCCAAAACATTGTTTTGTTTTGTGTGAAACTTTATATTTTTAGTAAAAAACTTTGCTAAAATCAAGTCAAAATATTGATATAATTGATTGAATAATTTGCCAGTTGTTTCTGAGGTTGTAATATACTACAAAGAATTGTTTGCTAACTGATTATCTGGTTCAGTTTATTCCAAAATATTGGAATACTGAGTAGACATTTAGATAGTAAACACGCTTTTAGAAGATGCTATATTTTAAACAGTGAACATCTTATGGAATAAAAAAAATGTTTGTAAGTTTTTCATTAAATGTTAACAAAATTAAATGTAAGCATACATAAAACCAAATATATTAAATATACATATTTATTTTTCAATTTCTCAATTGTTACTTATATATATACATATATGTATATATATATATATATATATATATATATGTATATATATATATATATATATATATATATATATATATATATATATATATATATATATATATATATATATATATATATATATATATATATATATATATATATATATATATATATATATATAAATATAACTTTCACACAAGAAGTTCCAGTTCTATCCATATCAGCTTTGTACAAGCTGATTTAGACTCTTGTGCCTATAGCAAGATAAGTCATGTCAAATTATATAAATTAAATTACTCAAATGTGCACACAAATATATATATATATACAGTATTGGACAAAACATTTGCAACCAACATCAAACAATGCTAAAAAGTGTTCCTAATTTTACATGTCTTAAAAACAAAACGAACTATACTACCACAGCAAAGTTCAGGAGTCTGGAGTCAGCATGCCATGACATGAGCAATCAGCTGACAGGTGACAGCACACAGGCAGAATTTCGTTGACAAGTGCCATTTTTCAGCAGACAAAAGAAGTGCAACTTTTTTGGTTTGTTTCATTTTCTCAAGTCTGGTCCGTGTCAACGCCATGGAAGTTTTTTAATAATTAAAAGAAGTATCCAGAAGTCTCAAGAAAAAGCATCTGGAAGTATTCAGAAGCATCCAGAAGTATCCAGAAACATTCAGAAGCATCCAAAAGCTTCCAGAAGCATCGAAAAGAAGCATCTAGAATCTTCCAGAACAGGTTCACACAGGTTCATTTTACTATATAAGAGACATGTAAACCGACATGTAATTCAGTCAGTATATGGAAGTCAATCAGTCAGTATTATCAAGACAATTTATCGAAGTGAGTTTTATCAAAGTGTTTTATCAAAGAACATTAATACAAGAAGTGAAATACAACAAGTGTTTCATTACATCAATACAGTCCACATCCAACCAAGACGTTGTGTTCCACAGAGCATTATTGTATCATCACAAGGTAAATATAACACGGTAAGCCTTAAGAAGCGTGATTATCTATTTTTATTATTTTTATGACCTCAAGTGCAAAAATGGCTCCCGACAGTCTTGGATTGGAACTAAGAAAGAAAATTATTGGCAATTACATAAGTGGAATGTCACAAAAAAATTTGTGATAAGTATCACGTGAAAAAATGGACCGTATCAAGACTATGTTCCAAATATTGTTCTATGGGGAAGTTGGCAGCAGATAACAAAGGTGGAAGACCGCATTCCACCACTTCTAGAGAGGACTCTATGATCGTCAGATCCGTCAAGAAGGATCTCTGGATATCATCAGTCAAGATACAAAAGCAATTAGAGCTGCCTGTATCAGACCGAACAATCTGACGACGTGCTGTTGAAGCCGGATAGTTTTCTCAACGCCCTGCAAAGAAACCGCTGATTTCACTAAAGAACCAGAAGAAAAGACTCCTGTTTGCTACATCTCATATTGACTGGAATGTGCAGAAATAGCGAATTGTCCTGTTCAGTGATGAATCGAAGTTCAACATCATTGGGAGCAATGGCATTTGCTGCGCACGTTGATTGGCTGGAAAACGCCTCAATTTATGTTTTTTTTAATTTATTTTTTATTTTAATTCACCTCCTCGAGACCGAGAAGGCCACTACAGACGAGGAGGCTACTTATTTGTGGTTACAACCCTCTTTCAACTCTATAACTCTGAAACACGAACCTTGACGAATAAGGCCGCTGCGCGGAGAAATAAGTTGAGTGCAGTACTACCAGGGACATGGTGGGGATCGAACTCGGAACCACTCGTTTATGAAACGTTACTGCCACAAGACCGTGAAACTTGGTGGAGACAATGTAATGGTCAGGAGGTATTTTTCTGCTAATGGTCTAGGTCCAATACATCGAATCGATGGAATAATAGACCATTTCATGTATAAAAATATCCTGAAAGATGATATGCTACCTCATGCTGAATGGAATATGCCAATAAAATGGGTATGCTGAATGGAATATGCCAATAATTTGTATGTGCACATTTGAGTAATTTAAAATGTTTTTTACCAAGTATATATATATATATATATATATATATATATAAATATATATATATATATATATATATATATATATATATATATATATATATATATATACATATATATATATATATATATATATATATATATATATATATATATATATATATATATATATATATATATACTATATATATATATATATATATATATATATATATATATATATATATATATATATATATATATATATATATATATATATATATATATACAATTTTATAAAAAAAAAACACAGAAATGCTTTTGCTCAGGGTAATTGTCTTTTTTAAAATGTATTAAAAGTTTACTTTAGTAAACGTCGTATCTTTTGAGTGCCAATATATACTTAGCTGAAATTTTAAATCTAATTGTAAATCAAAACCCTAACTAAGGTAAAGCAGTCTTCTCCATTTTGCTTTTGTAATCAAAACATTCACTATGCCTCTTAAACACTTTAGCAAGCACAACCTCCCATCCCCCCCCCCCCCAAAAAAAAAAAAATTTTAAAAATTAAAAAAAATAAAAGGGAAGTTTTTTTTTTAAATTGCAACAAGACTTTTTTACTTCATCAAATACTTTTACAAAAAATTATTAAACTATTTGTATATAATTGAAAAGACAATTAGTAAGAATATTTATTTATAAAATTATAACTATTTAATACTAAAAATACTAAACGAAAAAGGTTTGTTTCCAAAAAACAAACGAGCATACAAAAAGCAAAACTTCATTCAGAAAATGAATAATTAGACCTCGGCGGTAATAAATAAGTGCGAGAATGGAGAAAAGCTCTCCTATAATGAACATTATGAGCCTTGCAAGCTGCTCCTCTAAACAGCTTCTTACGAGAGCTTTTGGTTTTTGCACAAGCAACCTGTTTAATCATTAAAAAAAAAAAGTTTGGTTTTATACTTGTTACAATCGTTGTAATGTTAATATTAAAAGAATATATACAAAACAAGTATCATTTATTGCGCCTTGAAAAATTATTTAGACGACCATTGTCTTTGGTTTTCACATTAGCTATCCATTTATTTATAACAACTTTTATTTATAACAACTTATTTGATTTAAATTTGTCAAAGAGCTATAAAAGCTTTTACTGCTTATAAAAAATGTTTCTAATTTTCTTATTGTAATAGAATGCAGAATTTAAAGAATTATTCAAAATTAAAAATTCCAAAATAAAAGTGAAAAATATATAAAAGTACTTAATATATAAAATATATAATTCATTAGATAAAATATAAATTATTATGCAGTAACTTAGAGAGTATTAATTTTATATTTTATCAATATAATTTAGAGTGTAATAATTATATACTTAACAGTTAGTCTAATCAAATCAAAAACATTAGTATTTAAATCTACGCTCTTTTTAATTTTTTTTGCAACAGCCATGCCTTTTAAAAAGATTTGCAGTTTATTATGCAAAATTAATTATATAAATAAGACTTTGTGCTTTTCAGTCAGATTTAGTTGGAATATAAACTCTCATAAAACTGGAATTTATAGAAGCTGCAAAGCAAGACCTATGGTTTATTCAACTCATTGTTATTGTTGGTACCAAGTGTGGCTGACATGTTTGTGATAAAAATATGAATTAGAAAAATTAAAAAGAAAATTAAGTTTAAAATAAGTGATAGTAGCCAACATTAGAAGTTCAAATAAGTGATAGTAGCCATTATTAGAAGTTCAAATAAGTGATAGTAGCCATCATTAGAAGTTCAAATAAGCAATAGTAGCCATCATTAGAAGTTAGAGTTAAGCAATATCTTCTCTTTTCTACAAGTAAGGAGAAGATAAATACTGATCCAATTGATTTGATTTATTAGTTGGGTAAATTTGAAACAAGTAACAGTTAATCAGGTAGATATGTGTTATTGGTTATTGTTATTGAGCTATTAGTGAGCAAAGGTGAGCAAATTAGAAATAGTTAGAACTTCTGATTTTGGTAAAATATGGTGCACTAATAAAAATTGAATGAATGTTAAAAGTATACATTACTCTAGATGAATAGATTGAAGAGACTTGAAATTTTCTTAGGAAAAATCCAAATAACATAAGACAATCTATAGAAAGCATAGAAAACAGAAATTTTTAAAAACTAGTAGCGATTAGGTAAAAAGAGGTCATTGCAATCTTTACAGAGCAACAGTTAGAACAAAATTCAGCTTTTTAAAGAGAAAAGTATTTTCATTACCTTGACAACCAGTTCCTTTCTTTTTTCCATCGCCATAATAACCAGTAGGGCATATACAATGAAACCCACCATCAATATTTTTACACTGCGCTTTAATTAGTTGGTTATATATACATGGAAAATCTTCAGAATCTGCTGAACTTGAACATTCATCAATATCTAAAAGTGTTAAAAACTTGATTAAACACTAACTTATCAAATTATGAAACTTTTTTATAACTTGATAAAGAAATAAACGAAAACTTTATATTTCATTAATTTTAAAACATTTTTTTTACTTTAAAAAAATTTGCTTTGTTTTTATTTCATTACTTTTAATAATCTTATTCAAAATTTAACACTTAAAACTTAAAATGTAGATTATAAAATAAAATGAGAAATTCTTTAATAAATACAGAAAACAAAAATATAAAACAGTATAACTAACCGAAGCAAATATAGGGGAAAATGGAGCAAGATGACAAAATGCGGCAAAATGGCTTTTTATATAACAACTCAACAAAAAAAACTTGAAAATAGGTGAAAACGAAACTGTTTTTAGATCTTGTTATTTAAAATGCTAATTAATTATTTTTAAATATTATTAACACAATTTTATATACATAAGTTTACTTTTTGCACTTAAAAAAAAAATACAGTGGTTTTAGTTATTCATAATAGGTGTAACTTTTTTAAGAATATTTTTTTGTGACGTGTGTTCATTTTGTGTTACTTTAGAGTACTTGGCTGCTTTAAAATTTTATAAAATTGGAGGTAGAAATTGTGTAATAAGTCATCTTAGATGATAAATTTATTAACCTTTTATTTCAAATTTTTCAACTTGCAAACTGAAAATTTATGCAGGCAATAAACCATTATGATAACACAAACATACTGACAAAGTAATTTTGCTTCATGACTGATAGTTTTGCAACAACTTAGGGTTTTCAAAAATTTCGCCATTTTGCCCAATCTATCCCTATATAATAAAAACTCCAATTTAAAACAAACATAAAATTATATGCGACATAAGAAAAGAAAAAAAGTTAATGCTTAATGTTATATGAGTAGTGGTAGGTACTTCTCTTTAATTATTTCTCTGTACTCAGTACTTTTTCTGAATTAAATTCTCTACAGAATCACGCCTATTTCTATCAGGAGTTTACAGAAGCTCAGCAACAATAGTTAGTTTATCTCATCAAATAAACACTATTGCTACTTATACTTTACCCCATAATCTATACTACAGTATAACAGAACTTCAACACATATACCTAACACATATACCCAATAACCAACAACATTCATTTTCAAATAAGTAGTATGAATTAAACACAAAAGTAAATACTTTTAATAACAATAATAATCTTAAAAACAATTTTAAAAATGTTCATAATCAGAAAGTCAAATAAAACTTTACAATCATTGTAAGAATTTTGTATCATTGTAGACATTGTCATTGCAGGCATGTAGACAATAATTTTAGACATTGTCAATACCCTTTATAAACCTAAAGTTTTCATAGACAGCAAGTTTTCAAGGTAACTTCAGGATTTTCATAACAACATGCAAATCCTGAAGTTACCTTGAAAATTCAGTCATATTTAAAAAAAAAAAAAAAAAAAAAAAAAAAAAAAAAGTTTAAAGAATATAAAAAACGCTGGCATTAAAAAGGTATAAATCTATAAGCAATTAGTAAAAGACAAAAATTTGGGTCAAATGAAAACCCCAAGGTTAAAAAGTAAATTTTTTAAACATATATCATACAAAGATATATACATGCATTCATATATACTTACATATATACGTACATACATACATACATACATACATACATACATACATACATACATACATACATACATACATACATACATAAATACATACATACATACATACATACATACATACATACATACATACATACATACATACATACATACATACACACATACACACATACACACATACATTATATACATAAATATATACATACATTTTAAAATAAAGATAAATTTAAACAAAGAATATAAAAATCTATCTATAAAAAAATCTATAAAAAAACAAAAAGCATGCAAAATGATGTTAAAGATTGTATGTACTTTTGAGTGTATTGCATGATGTAAAAAAAATCTGTGCTATTTATGTTGTACAGTAAAATCTTGTGTTGTTGGTGACCAGGGTAAAGCTTTATATCTCAACTTATGTCAAACCAGCCCACATATACTCCAGAGTACCGTGATGAATCAAACACCTAAGCATGAATTTATCCCTGACTTCTGATTCTAAAAGACATATTCCACAAAAAATATCTTCTCCCACGGTGATTGTGAAATTAGTAATGACAGATAACAGTTGACTCTTATAGGCTAGTCCATTAATATTTAAAACTTATATGGCTTATGAATTTGCCAAATGGTCACACAAAAGCAGTGAATGAGCCCAAGGAAAAACTTAGCAAAAATAACTAGTTTAATTTATCAGTTAAATTTAAAATTAGTATTTTATTTCTTTACTTTTAGTAACTATTTTTTGTGATTTTTTAGCACATGATTTGTTTTCATCATTTATTTAATATTATTATGTTTAATAAAAAGTTTTATTTACAATATATCTATATTATTTTTTGTCTTTTTATGTTTTTTTTTGTGTATGTTTTTGTACACTCAATGTAAACAATCAAATTTTTGTCTCCACATGTTGAAAGTTGAAAGAAAATCTCTGTTCTAAAAACTCTATCTAAAAACCAATATATCTTTTAAATCTTTATATTGTATTTTATCTTATTATCATATGAATAAAAATAAAATAAAAAAATCAAAAATTGTAAATCTGAAATAAATTAATACTCACCTAAACAATTTGTCTTATTAGTATCAAGCACAAACCCATCATCACACACGCAATTAAAAGAACCTATTGTATTTATACATTTGACATGTTTATTTGTTATGTTACAATTATGCATATATTCTTCACACTCATTGCGATCTATAAAAAAATTATTAATTGCTCTACTATTTAATATTAGTGAAAAAATAATTTATTTTTTCACTACTTTATTTTTGTATTTTTTTAACAAATACAAATTCACAAACAATGTAAAAATAGCAACACAAATGATAATTAAGCATGTTTTATAAACAAATTTAAAAATGTGAAAAAACTCTAACTAAAATGTAAATAACTTTAAAAAAATCAAGGAATTTTTTTCATTAAGATCGAGCACTGTCAACATTTTCACCAACAGTGAATTTATTTAAGTGACAATACTTATATTTAAATTAAAAAGAAATTAATTGTAAGTTTGTAACATATGTATTAATTTTAATATCAAGGTACTTTTTTATTTAAGTAATTCACATTTTTAAAGATTAAAAATGTGAATTGAATGTATGACTCTTTTAAAATTTGTTAAAACTTTCATTTATTTATCAAATAGAAAATATTTTAGTGTTTTTCAAAAAATATTGTTTATGAATGATAAATATTTATAATTTAATTATTAAGTAAATTTTAAACTTTTTTATACTTGTGCTTAAATTAAATTAAAAAATAAAAATATTTGACAAGCCTTAAAAACAAATAATAACAGTTTTATTAATTACCAATGCAAGAATGATGTTGCACCTCTCGGTTCCTTTTATAACCATGTTTACAAAAACACACATAGGATCCACGAGTGTTCCAACATGTTCCATTAACAAAATCACATATTGCTTGAATGCTTCCACTGTTGTCAACTGCACATTCATTTATGTCTAAAAAATTAGAAGTAGTTTAAGAGATTAAATTTCAGAGAATTAGTCCATGTATCCAATGGACAATGCTGTTGTATTAATATTCAATTGTTCATTAAAATTCACTCAAAATTAGTTTTATTCTTCTTTTCAAATAAAAATGCAAAATTTCACATGACAAACTTATTAAACAGCATTTCACGTGTGACAAACTTATTTTTAGTTGAGTAGGCCTTAGCCCAAGACTGAAACTAGACAAGAGATTTCATATTAAAAAATGTCATATAAAGATGCATTTTTTACCTTAAAATAACTTATAAAATATTAAAAATTATTTATGGCATGTGATATGCACAACTTTTACATGCTCATTTCACCTAACAACTGACATTGAAGAAAAATGGGTAACCTATACCTATTACATAAAAAATATAACATCATCATGTGATTTAAATTATTTATTAATTATGGTATAAATTATTCCATTAAACCATAGGTTAAAATATTGCAAATGAACTTTGATCACAATGAAAAAATGTGTTATTAGAACTGAACATTTGTTAATTGTTTTATATTTTTTGGGGGGTTTTTTGGGTTTAAAAATTGTATTAACTTTTCAATCAAAAGAAAAAATCAATTTTTCAATCAAAAGACAAAAGTTGATAAAAACAGTCAACAACGAAAATTTATAAAAAATATGAACAAAAGTAAAAAATTACAAAATTCCAAATAATATAATTTTATTATTTTTTATAATTATTATACTTTATTATAATAATATAATAATATAATTTATAAAAGTAGAAAATTAAATTAAAAAGATTCAAGGCAAAGTTTCAAGTGATGATTGTGCCTGACAAAAAAAAAAAAATAGTATTATGTAAAATCATCTAAACTACACAATTGTGGAAACTGGACATTAAATATGTTTGAAAAAATATATTATGCATATAACTAATTATGGTTCAAGTAGTAATGGTACTTGAACCATAGCTAAATGCAGATGTATGTTATGTACACGATTAATAAGTTTTGAACTTATTTCAAAATCTAGGTTAATTACAGGTTATCAGTTAACTTAAAAGATGAAATTAACTTATGAATTAACTAACTGTCAACTTAGACAGTTAACTTTAAGAACTTTATTTTTATTTAGTTTTAGTTTTCATTAAATAAATTATAAGAAAAAGTAATATGAAAACAAACTGTTGCATGCATACCAATGCATCTCTCATTATTTACTTCTAATCCATTTTTAAAGCCCTCTGTGCATTGGCATTTATATCCAATATTTAGGTCAACACATGTTGCTTCTCTGGAACATTTATGTCTTTGTGTGGTATCTGTGCATTCATTTATTGCTAAAAAAAAGTTAATAAAATCAACTGGATTTAACTGATTAATTTTTATTTAAATTTTATTAGCAAAATCAATTTTCTCTATGCTTTGTTTTTGACAAAATATCAACTCACTTAGCTAATTTTCTTATGAAATATTAACTTGTTTATCTGAGAAAATTAAAAAAAACAAATTGCTATAAATAAAAATTTATTTATCTTAAATATTTATTTGTACTGTTGGTAATTCTAGAGTGCTTAATGGTGACTATTACAACAAAACGGGCTCTTTTGGCTAAGAGGTTTTACATTGTGGCCTACAGTGACTAATGTGTGCATTGAATCAATTAAAATCTATTCTGTAGGTCTTATGTCTGGCTCTGATGTACTAGCCCATAAGCGCAAGAAGTAAGTGTATTTAGCTTTTTATTTACTCGATTTAAAAGTGAACGAAAACATAACAAGACCATACCAGAAGATTGTTTGATCTTCTGGTATGTCTCTAATATCAATAAATCACAAATGTGTTTCTTATTGCATATGCTCTACACACAGAGTGACTAGAGCTTTATTTTTTCTCCCCTGCCTTCTGAGCATACTTAGGAGAGACTTCTTCTACTTCAGTCAGAGAGACTTCTTCTACTTCAGTCAGGTCAGGTTTATCCTGCTACTGGTAACATGTAACCCAGTACAATCTGCTTCATGTCCTGCTGGATATGCCTTTTTAGGCAAAGGCTAGGAGATGCAAACTCCGACATAAAACACCCCCTGCCTTGGGGCTCTTGGTTGAGTAAAGGCTAGAGATGGTGTCTCGATAAAAATACTCATCTTGGGCAGATGTTACATGCATCCGGCTGCTGTCTTAAAGAAGGCCTCCTAGGGAAAGACTTAAGGGGTAAACAGATTCTATCTGTTGACCAGCCTCGCACCCCTTCGTCATCTATTAGGCTGGCGCAGATGTATTTTTAATACATTGTTTCCAGTTTAGGATGTTGAATGCTGGATCTTCTTGACTCGATTCATGAGTTTTGCTTGTGTCTCTGTTTTTATGACTAGGCAACTCATTCTATTATCTCCAAATGAGGGTACAGCTCTAAAACTCAGTTTTATGGTTCTGAGGCCGGCTGGTAGTCAGGTTTCCCGAACTCTGTGGTAGCTCTCAGAGAGGCTGATTTCATCAACAGCTGAAAAATATCAGAGTACTAACAGTGCCAGGTTGCGCATGGATGGTGTCCCTGTTTGTACTTTTGATGTGCATTGCCAAGGCCACATTGGAGCCCTTTTGTTACGGCTTAGGGTTTATTAGTGGAAATGAGGCAATTGCTTGAGCTATAGAACAGTGTACTATCAATGTTTCGAGTCAAGTTCATTAACAAATTTTAAAATCAATAGAGTAACAAAAACTATAAAACACAAAAAACCACAGCCATCACCAAGTTCGCTAAACCTATCATTCACCAATATTCGTGGTCTTCGAAGTAACTTTTCTTCTGTTGAGTCTTATCTCTTGCAAAGTTCACCAGACCTGCTTGCTCTTTGTGAGACTAATTTGAGTTCAGCTGTCTCATCTTGTGATCTTAGTGTTGATGGTTATCTTCCTTTAATTCGTAAAGACTCCAATAGTCACATGCTTGGCCTGGGCATTTACATTTGTAAGAATTCACCCATTTGTCAGGAAACTAGGTTTGGATCCAGACTACTCTTTTATGTGCTTTCGTTTAGCACCACTTCACTCTATCACCTTTCTCTTTGTTCTATATCGCTCTTCCTCATCCCAAGACTGCACTCTTCTTGATGTTATTTCTGATTATATTGACCAAGCCCTCATTCTTTATCCATCAGCAAATATTGTTGTTGTCGGTGACTTTAATGTTCATCACACTGAATGGCTTGGTTCTAGTGTCAGTGACTCTGCAGGCATTAAGGCCCACAACTTTTGTCTTTCTCAATCCCTAACTTAAATAGTCAACTTTTCAACTCGCTTTCCAGACAACCCGAATCATTTACCTTCTCTACTCGACTTATGTCTTGTTTCTGATCCTAGTCAGTGTTCAGTTTCTTCACACTCACCCTTAGGTGCGTCTGATCATGGTTTGGTCTCTCTAAAACTATTATCTCATTCTTCTTTACCATTAGAATCCCCCTATCATCGTACATCTTACAACTACCTTAAAGCTGACTGGGACTCTTTTCGTGACTTTCTACGTGATGGCCCCTGGGTAGAAATCTTTCATCTCCCTGTTGACAAATGTGCTTCTTACATAACTTCGTGGATTCAGGATGGCATGGAATCCTTTATTCCCTCTCGACGATTCCAGGTCAAGCCTCACTCTTCTCCATGGTTTTCCTCACATTGTGCTGCTGCAATTGCCAATCGAAACCATTACTTCCATATCTATCATCAAAACAATTCTCCAGAAAACAGACGTCTCTTTATTACTGCTAGGAACCATTGTAAAAAGGTTTTGTCTAACGCCAAAACCCGCTATTCTCAGATCATGAAATCTCGTATTTCATCACAAAAATTAGACTCTCGTGACTTCTGGAGAATCTTTAATAGTATCAATAATAAGGGCAAGTCTGTAATTCTACCTCTTTTGTACGGTTCAGACTTTGTCACCTCACCTAAAGACAAAGCTGAATTGTTTGCCAAGGACTTTTCATCAATATCATCTCTTTATGCCACTAGTTGAGTTTTACCTGATATACCCGTCAAATAGGTTGATCCATTGCTCGACATTCGTATCACTCCAGCTTCTGTATCTAAAGTGATTTCCCGCTTAGACTCTTCTACAGCTTGCGACCCGGACAACATACCTGTTATAGTCTTGCAGAAGTGTTCTCCTGAGCTGTCGTCTATCTTTTCAAAACTATTCAACAAGTGCTTATCAGAGTCTTGTTTTCCAGCCTGCTGGAAAGCAGCATCTGTTATCCCTATTTTTAAAAATTCTGGAGAGCGATCTGACTCATCTAACTACCGTCCCATTAGTCTTCTTCCTATCATAAGCAAGGTTTTTGAATCTTTAATTAACAAACACTTAATCTCTCATCTCGAATCTCATAACCTACTTTCTGATCATCAGTATGGATTTTGATCTTCTCGTTCTACAGCTGAGTTGCTATCAGTAATAACCGATAGATTTTATCGCGCATTAGATAAAGGTGGAGAGGTTAAGGCCTTGACATTTCTAAAGCGTTTGATAAAGTTTGGCATGCTGGTCTCCTCCATAAGCTTTCTTCTTATGGTGTATCTGGAAACATCTTTAGGATTATTGAATCCTTCCTTTCAAATCGTAGTATAAAAGTTGTCTTTGATGGACAGTACTCTTCTTCTTATTCTGTAACCTCAGGGGTTCCCTAAGGTTCAATCCTTGGCCCTATACTCTTTTTAATTTACATTAACGATCTTCCAGATATTCTCACATCTAAGGTGGCATTGTTCGCTGATGATACTACCATTTATTCTTGTCACGATAAGAAGCCAACTCCCTCTGATTGCTTGCAGGGGGCATCTGAGCTCGAAAAGGATCTCACTTCTGCTACAGCATGGGGCTTGCAGTGGCTGGTGAACTTTAATTCAGATAAAACTAAATTTTTTTCGGCCAATCGTTATCGCAATAATTTAGACCTTCCTATATTTATGAATGGTAATGTACTCGATGAGTCTCCTACCCTTCATCTTCTAGGATTAACTCTTACTTCTGATCTTTCTTGGAAACCTTATATCAAATCCGTTGCAAAATTAGCATCTGCTAAAGTTGCTTCTCTTTATCGAGCTCGTCACTTTCTTACTCTGGATTCTATTCTCTATCTTTATAAATCTCAAATCCGGCCTTGTATGGAATACTGTTGCCATATCTGGGGCGGATCTTCTAATGATGCCCTTTCTCTTTTAGACAAGGTGCAAAAACGCATTGTAAACATAGTTAGACCTGCTCTTGCAGCCAACCTTCAACCTCTGTCACATCGTTGTAATATTGCTTCCCTTTCTCTTTTCTACAAATACTATAATGGGCACTGCTCTAAAGAGCTAGTGTCTCTTGTGCCATCTACTAAAATTCATTCTCGTGTTACTCGTCATTCAATTAAGTCTCATCCTTTTTCTGTTACTGTTCCTAAGTGCTCCAAAAACTCTTATTCGTCTAGTTTTTTTCCTCGAACATCAGTTCTTTGGAATTCGCTTCCTTCATCTTGCTTTCCTGATTCATATAATTTGCAATATTTTAAGTCGTCTGTCAATCGTTATCTTGCTCTACAATCTTCATCTTTTCTCTTCCAGTAACTTCCAACACTAATTATTGGTTGCTTGCAACCTTGTTGGAAGCAAAGATAATTAAAAAAAAAAAAAAAAAAAACTTTACAAGAGTCTTACCATTTATTTCCAAGCTAGCACACAAATGTTGATAAAACGTTAAAACAATGTTGTGCATTGCATTAGCCCAACATCGACTGCCAACGTTGTTTTTATATCATTTTGGTTACAAATGCGACATTGCGTTTGTAACCAAAAAATAATTTTGGGCCAATGTTGTATTTTAAATTGGCATTGCGTAATATTTTACGTTGATTCAACATTATATTTTACGTTGGCACAACGTTGTATTTTATGTTGGCAAAACGTTGTACTTTAAGTTGATTTAGTGTTATATTTTACATTTGCACAACATTATTATTTATATATATATATATATATTTTTTTTATTCATTATATATTTCATTTTTTCAGGATTAAATTTATTTGTTTTATATTTTAGTATATATAAATAAACACATTAAATATTATATATTTAAATGCATATATAATTGTATATATGTACTTATACTTATAGATTTTAACCATTTTGATGGGTCAACATAGCTGAAGGCGTTTGTTTATACTTACTATAAATCTGAGCTTGCATCTGATTAAAGATGCATTATTCATGTTTGTTTTGCTTGTGGCTTTAATATTTCGTTATATAAAAAAGAGAAAAATATATAAGCAAATTTCCATAATTAACAGAAATATTTGAATTAAAAATAATTCTAGTAAGTTAAACAAATATATATTTGTATATCTGCCATTTCTCGATGCAAACACAAAGTTGATCCACTGTATATAATCCAACATTATTCCAATGTATGAATCAACATTGTATGAATGTATGCATATAAATAGGAATCATTGTTGATCCAATGTATATAATCCAACGTTAAGCTATACAAATTGGATTAATGTTGCATTATAAACATCGGATTAACATTAATTCAAACACATTGGATCAATGTGGGATTATACACATTTAATCAACGTTTATTCACATACATTGGATCAACATTAGCTTTAGATCAGAAAAACAACCAAGTTTGTTTTTCTGATCTAAAGCATACATACAAAGCTTTTCCATATGTTAGACCAATGTAATTTTCCCATTTTTGATCACCTCATTATTAATGTTTTTATTAATATTAACACGATAAAACTAGCATTGGATCAACATTTTATTTGCATAAGAGAAAACAGCCGACGTTGGTGATGTATTTAAATACATTGGCTGGTGATGTATTTAAATACATTCAGTTTGAATGTATTTAAATACATCACATTGGTGATGTATTTAAATACATTCAAACTGAAAGTATTAATATTTAAATTTAATTATTAACTCTACTAATAAAAAAAAGTTTTATTGTTATTTTCTAAATATGACTCCACCATTATTATAAATGAGACTAATTTTACTTTATTTATACTGTTGTTAACAGTATAAATAAAGTAAAATAAAGAATTTTATTTATAGCCATTTATTTGTAAAAGTTTGACTTTTAAATTTTTCATTATAATGTTTTACTGATGCACAATTGAATATTTAAATATTGATTCATAATTGGCATAATTAAATATCATTTAAAAATAAAATGATAAGTAGATTTCAGTTAGAGAAAACATTTAATTGCTTAAAAACTAATCTTTTGGCATTGGCTTGATTTTCTTAATAAATTTACAAAAAATAAAATATAATTAAATGAACATACGAAGACATGTTATTTTGTCACTAGAAAGTTTCAACCCTGATGGACATGAACATACATAAGAACCAAAATTGTTTCGACAATAATCAGAATGTTTAACTCCTCCACGATAACACTTGTGAGTTCCAATTGTGCATTCATCAATATCTGAAATAAATTCCATCCATATATATTGAACATTTTGATGACATAAAATTGTTACAACTTTGTTTTCTCAATGAAACAAAAAAACAAAAACAAAAAAAACTTTACATAAGTTAATAAAAAAAGTATTAAGACTTTATTGACAACTTGCTTTTTCTTTTCAAATCACAATAAAAAAAATTACATTGTAAAAAAAGTGCAAAACCGATTGTATAATAAATAAGGCTTTTACCAACTCATAACAAATAAATTTAAATTTAATGTAATTTTAATTAAAAGCAAATTTATTTCAATTTATATTTATCTTTTGTTATTTTACATTTTTAAGAGTTTATTAAATCCATTTCTTTTTAGTTTTTTTTGTTTTAACTGCAATTTATCAGAAAACTTTAGCAAAATAAGGCACACTTAGGTAAATGAACTTTCTTTGATAGAAAATATTTTAATGCAACAAAAACTTTGCAATATTGAATAAAGCTTGTAATAAAAGTTCAGAACTTTATCTAACCTATAAGATTAAATTTTTTATATTTTTATAGTATTATCCTTGTTTTCATCAAATCATTCATCACCTTACCTAAACTAACTTTAAAAATCACAAAATTTAAAATGTTTTATATCAAGACCAAGACAAGACCAAGACAGGAACAGCCCATGTGGTTTAAAGACCAAAAAAAGATCAAAATTTGAAAACACACAACCGAGACAGAGTAAGCCTCAAGATATCTCAAAATAAGATATTTAGTCTTGAGATAAAAAAATTATATTTCTACTGCAAATTTTTTTATTTTGAGTATTATAAATATTTTTCCAAGTTGAATTGTTCTTTGGCTTCTACCTGTTATAAATTCTATAAGAGTAAAAATTACCCCAATTGTTGACCTGAATCCAAAACTGTTTTTGAAACATGGCCATCAGTTACTTGACAAGTATTTCAGCACTCTCCTTTTTTAAGTCTGCAAAAAACAGATTTTAGACTTGTTTTCAATATTATCCATTACTCATAAATATTATTTTTTTACTAATTTATTAAAGGGGGTGCTTGAAATACACCTCCACCCTGAGTAAAGTTAATTAAATTTGTTATTAAAAAAATACTGTAGATGTGTGCACCTACAAGACTAAGTTTTTTAATGATAAAAAAAAAAGTCTAGACTGTGGATCGAATGCACAACATCTGGCATTTGAATATTTTGCATTACCCACTCGGCTACACTTACTTCTTCCAGCTAACATAAATCTAATTTATATAATTAAATTTTTGTAAATGCATGTCTACAGAATTTATATCCAATACAAAAAGCAAAGCCTTCAGCATTGTCCATAAACTACTGGTGTTCTGAGGGGGAGGGGAAAACTGCACAATAAAGTTATGAGGGAAGAGGGATCGGATAAATTATAAAAGCATGGGAGTCATTGTTGTATAGTATAACTAATACAGGATTCTCTTTAGTGTAGTTAATACAATTCTGTTAATGTGAAACAAACTCTATTCACTCAAACAGAAAACCAAAGATTGTAAATTTTATTTTATTTGTTTGTTGAAGTTGAAAAAACTATTTGCTAAATACAACATCACAAATTTTTAATGAATATTAAAATATATTTTTCAATAATTTACAATATCTAATTATTAACAATAATACAACGTTATGGTAAATAATATAATAAAAAATTTAGGATGTCAAACAGTTCAAAAAAAACTTTTATCAGTCTAATAATTTAATTACATATTACAAACCTTATTTATCTAAATAATTTTTTGGCCTAAAACAAGGAAGTAAAATTTTCAATTTTTAACTTTTGTTTTGTATATTACACTACAAATTTCTTTAATAGCTTTAAAAAAAAAAAATTAGAATTTTTTAAAATATTAAAAAAGTTTTATAACTAATCATATAAAACGCAAATTTGATGTTAAATTTTTAATATTTGCTCCTAATTATTTAAATTGCTTGTTAACTTCATTAAAAAAAAGGGAAAATATGTTTCATTACTTCTACTGACAGGAGGCAAAAATTCTGCCTCCAATTTGGTGACTGCAGCCAGTTGAGAGACAGAAGCCACTAGAGGCGATCTCAAAAATCCTTTTGCCCTAAAAAATTTATTTTGGAGGCGGCCAACAATAGCTTCTGTCTCCGTATTAGCAATAGTATTGAAAACATTTTGCCTCTGGCTGCAGACGCCATTTGAGAGGCAAAAGCCAGAACATTTTGCTTCCAAAAACTTTACAAGAGGCCCCCACCAATGGTTTCCGCTTCCCTAAAAAGTCCCTTTATTGGCAGAATGATACTTTATATTGTTATATAAATTACTTTTTATATTACTACCAACTCAGAGAGACATTGTTAAATAACAGACCTAGAATAATTTATTTTATTTTTATTTATTTCAATGTACTGCAATATAACTTTTCTGAATTTTAGATAAATTTTTAGATGAAAAATCAAGTTGTTTGAACTAGGGATTGCTAGTATGTGGTATACTAAAAATTTAGTATACAGTTTACCGTATAGTATACTACAAGCAAATTTTTTTGACAAAACTGTAATGCAATATTGTAAAAAAGTTTTAATGGTAAAAAAGTTTTAACATAAAACAAATGTGTTTGTTTTAAATAAAAATAAATAAAAAAGTTGAAGTCTCTGATCAAAATCAGCAACCACTTGATTGTTATTTTTCTACATTAAATAAATTAATTAAAATAAAAACACTTTAACTATTATAAGTCATACAATAAATATAGTAAAGTAATTTAATTCATTATAATAATATAATAACTTAATAATAAATTATTAAATTATCAAGTCCAGAAAAACAATTCACAAAAAAAAAGCAAATAGGTATACTAAACTGTATACTAACTTTTAGTATACCAAGTAAACGGTAAAGTATACACCTAAGTTAGTATATTGTATACTGTAACCAGCAATCCCTAATTTAAACACAAAATTTTTAAAAATATGTTTAAATAAAAGGTTTTTAAAATTTTCAGTCAGCCACTTCTTTTAAATTAGATATTTTGTTTCTTATCTACAATAAGATTAATTTTACCTAATAATAATCTTACTTCTAAAGTCAATTTCATTGCGGCTGGTGAATCTAACTCAAAATACATTGGTTTGGTGAACAGATTGGACCTGCTTCAGCTGACAAGCTTGAGCCTCTTTTACATCATTGTAAAGTCAAGTCTCTTGTTTTTATTTCTACAAGTACTACTACATAGTAGCTGCTCAGGTCCTTCTTTTATTTACTATCTTCTTTATGCTGATGGTATTGCCCTGTGTGAACCATCAGCCAAAGGTCTCCAGAACCTACTTGACTTTTGCTCTGGGTATGTTATGCAACATAATAAAGCTTATAACAACATTAGGTCTTAAATAATGTTCTTTAAAAGTTATGAATCTCTTGTAAATAGCTATTATTTCACATTATCTAACATGGCTCTCACATACACTACACAATATAAATACCTTGGTCATTTGACTGCAAACGATATGCAGAATGACAAACAAATTTTAAAATAAAGTACGTCCTATTTATGCTAAAGCAAACCTCACCCATAACAGGCGATCACATGCAGTTACAAAAATCGCACACTGTAACTGACCATGCTTTTAATTTTTTTCTTTATAATTTAACCACAGCTTTTAATGTTTTATCAATTTAAATGCAATTTAAAAAATCATTATGTTATAAAAACATTTTGAAAACATCTTTGATCTTTTTTGATCTTACGTTATGAAAACTTTTTAAAAGCATCTTTGATCTTTTCTTATGTGAAGGCTTTAAATAAAAAATTAATTATAATGATCGATTATTAACCTATTTTGTGTAAGTTAAATATTTATATTTTTTTTAGTAGGCATTTATTTTTTATGATCAATTTGAACATTTGAAACTATTCTTTTATGCCTTTCTAAAAATTTTCAAAATATTACTTTTTTTAAGTTTCTTTAAATTATGAATAAATAAATTAAAATCTTCCCGTTGAAATGGAATGATTTAATTGCTTTATTTTTTTGTTTTTATTTTTTCAAAAAATTGTTTAAAAGTTTTTTTTTATAAAATTTATATGATGAAATGAATAATAATTACTATTAAAAAAAAACAAGGTTATTAATTATTTTCAATTTTCAACAAGTTAAATAAAACTTGTTTATCTATTAAACAGTAGACGTAATTTGTAAAAGCATTTTGCATAACTTTATTATAACGCTTTAAAAGATAAGTTTTAAAGTAATTTATTTCAAACGCAATTAAAAACACACAAAAAGTAATTTTTGCTTCGAGTTTGAGTTTTTCGAGTTTTATTTTAAAGCTTATATATTTTCTTTTTCGTAAGGAATTTTTTTCTTTAGTTTTTTTTCTTCCCTAGTTTATGACTTAAAAAAAAGATTTAAAAATGCTTAGCTAAACTAAAAATTTTTTGCGTGGTCAGCAATAGCATTTGATCGCATGCCATTCCTTTCCAAATTTTCCATAAATAGTTCAGCAAAACACAAATAAAAAATAAGATCATGCCATTTAAGGGTAATCCCATATGAAATCATTCAAAAAAAAAACATTTTCAACACCCTTACGTCTCAGAATTTGTTCATTTTTACCTCACTTGCAACCCATATTAAAAAAAAATCAACTGTTAAATTTTTATTTAAAATACACATGGGTTCTATAGATATCGTCAATTAAAATAATGCTGACTCAGCACTTTAGTGATTATCTGAAGTGACTACAAAGCAACTTTGATATATAGTATCTTTATAATGGCTTGGGGAAACATCCTAGAATTTGGTATCCCAATAGGTACTTTACTTGCGGAATCTAAAAAGAGCACCCTTATGACTCCATTGTCTTAGGAAACGCCTTGTTTATCCAATTTTGTTAAAAACTATTGACTTGTAAATTCATGATTTTTGGAGGTAAAATAAGGATTTTAACCCAAAATCCTGATTAAAAATAATTCTATTTCATTATTTTATCATAGGTCTGCTGAAAAATATTAGAGTCATCAAATGTCTCTCTAATATCAAAATTTGCATTTAAAAATTGTATATTTAGAAAATTTTAAATTTTGTAACGAAAGCAAAAAATATGTTTTTGAAAATATTTATTTGAATAAAACATCAAATAGTGTTATTTATTGACTAGTTTAGGTCGTTTATAGTCATAGGCCAAATAAGGGCCAGGGGACCTCTGACCAACTTTGCCCCCCTCCCAATCTCCCTGGATTTTTTTATTTTAATTTTTTTGTTTTAATGCATTAAATGATATAATAATAATTATTAAAATTCAATTTAAAAACATATTTTTTTTTTAGTTTGAGAAACAATTTTGTTTTCATTATTTACCTCTTATTTCAAAGTAAGCACTCAAAAGTAAGATCTTTTCACAATTTTGAAAATCATCAATTTTAAAACCAAAAATATTGAAACGTTTTTAACATTTTAACAAAACATTTTACCAATCAATATCTTTATGGTATTATTTAGTAGATTAATACTAATATAGTCATTGACATAATTAGGTGGACATTAAGATTTATATAAACCCTATCTTTCTAAGCCTTTCATCCAAGGATTTGAAAAAAGAAAGACAAATTCTAAATGCAAAATAGGTAAATAAATTTACAACACAATTAATTTAAATGTATTTAATTTTTTTTTGTAACCAACTGCTTATATTCTCCAAATCTAAATCAGATATGTTGTATGTACGACCTGATATTGTTGTGGGTGTAGAAATTAGGCTTATAACTTCAGAATTGAGCACCCATTGCATTAGCCAAAAGAAGTTTTTACTTGGTCCATGTGGATGCATGAATCTGACCTTTATATCAATCTCACTTACATCTTCAGCAATCCCTAACTACTAAAATCTATTATAAAAACATGCAATATAATCCATTTTTTTAATGTTTAATAAAATCTCTTTATTATGTTTGCTTTTTGAAATGATATGTATCAATACTTGTTTTTTTATAATTTAAAGTGTTTGAAGCAATTAGAATAAAGTGATGATACGTCCTTGTGCCAGGAAGTGTTCTTTCACATAAATATCTTTTTTCTAATTGTGCTTGTGTTTGGTTGATTTCATCTTTAGAAAATAATTTAAAACAATTTCTATTTATCTTGGCTTTACAAAAGGATTACATTAAATTAACATCTAAAATCTGCCCAGTAGTTTGTTTTAGACTTTCTTGACATACTACTCTTTTAACAGGTATATTGCATTGGTAACATTGATGCAAAATATACTCTGCATTTTCAAATCCAGGGAGATTGGGGGTGGGGGCAGAGTTAGTCAGAGGTCCCCTGGCCCTCCCTTGGCCTATGACTATAAACGTCCTAAACTAGTCAATAAATAACACTATTTGATGTTTTATGCAAATAAATGTTTTAAAAACCATTTCAATTGCTTTCGTTACAAAATTAAATTTTTTCTAAAAAGACAATCTTTAAACGCAAATTTTGATCAAGTATTAGAGTATTGTTGAATCTACTTTTTTTCAGTAGATCTAAGATAAAATAATAATATACAATTAAACTTTTTATTTGGGATTTTGGGCCATAGTCTTTATTTTACCTCCAAAAATCGTGAATTTACAAGTCAATAATTTTGACTTGTAAATTCATTATAAAACCTAATGGGGTACCAAATTTTAGGAAGTTTCCCCAAGCCATTATGAAGATACTATATGTCAAAGTTGTTTTGTAGTTGCTTCAGATAATCACTAAAATGCTGAGTCAGCATTATTTTAACTGACGATATCTCTAGAACCAATGTGTATTTTTAACTAAAAATTTTTGCAGTTATTACTTTTTTAATATGGACTGCAAGTGAGGTAAAAATAAACAAATTCTGAGACATAAGGTTGTCATGGTCTGGATGATTTCATATGGAATGACCCTTAATGCCTTTTGTAGTCTTTTGTAGTTTTTTATGGATGTCAGTTATGGTACCTATTGGGAAAAGACTCATTTGATTGTCTAAGTGTTGCATATAATAATGCACTTTGCTTGATATTAAATAAACCACCATCGAACAGTGCTAGTGAATTATTTGTGAAGCATGGCGCCCATTCACTTAATGTTGTTATTTGTAAGCAACAATATTCATCATTACTACTGCTACAGAATAGTAAGATTATAAATTCATAATTTCTCATTATAAATTAATAATTTTAACCTCACAAAAAGCTTTTGTTAACTTTGACAGGTTGTTGAAGTCTCCATTGATGTTTAAATGGAGAGCTGAGTTATATTAACAACACTTCAAATTTTGTTTCTTTGGGTTTTGTTTATATTCAAGTGCACTGTTTTTTTATCCACTTTATTTTCACCTATTGTATATTTATCCTTTCCATTGTATATTATCCTTGTGCCTTGAGCCTGTCAATAAATTTGATTGGTCTATTGATTTCAGAAATTTAAGTCAAACAAGGGAGCTTTATTTTGAAACTTTTTTTTTTTCAGTTAATAAATTATAAGATATATCATTGATGCTTATTGAATTTAACAAATTATTATTTTTTCAAAATAATTTTTCACTTATTTGCAAAGTGCATGCAAACTAATGATAAATAATATGCCATGACCTAATGATTTTAAATTGTTATCCAATTAATACAAGAGTGAATTTTTCTCAATTTAGTTTGTTTAATTTATTTACTACAAAAAAAAACTTATAAACTTGAAGAAATTAAAATAAAAGGAACCAAAAATGAAATAAAAAGTTATTTTGATATTTCTTTTTTAAAAGCCCACAATATAAAATAATGTTAAGTATTTAATAATAAGATAATAAAAATATCATACTATAGGTGCTGTTAAATGCACAATATAAGTGAAAACTATAATAAGCATAGTAATTCTATATATTTTATTAGATATTATACATTTCAGCATAACTTAAAAATTATTTTCTAAACTTTTAAAAGTGTTTATAATATTACGATTTTTATAATATTAAGATAACATGCTTAAACATTATGATTGCTTTAAAGCAATCATAATGTTTAAGCATGAAAAAACACTCAAAAATTGTGTGTTGTAGTTAATGAAGGGCCCTAATACAAATATTTTAAGAATAAGCAATAAAGTTATAAGACCAAGACAAGACTAGAAATTAAAGATCTCGACTAAAACTTGAAAGACCAAAACTTGAAAATTTATTTTACTTTTATTTTACCTTTATTTTGTTAAATGTATTTTTAAATGTATCTTGAAAGACAAAAAATTGTCTTAAGATAACAACAGATTCAAAACTCACGATTAAATGCTTGAGAATAAGAATAACACTTGAAAAAAAAATACACATTATTGTTAAAAGTATGTATGTAATGTACAGAAAAAATATTATAAAATTTGAACCTAGATGATTTTATTACATCAATCTGACTATTTTTAGTGTATAGTTCATAGTAGTATACTTTCTTTTATACGAATTTAAAAAAAAAGTTTTTGAGGTAATATAATTTCTTATTATTTTTAATTTTTAATCTTTGGTTAAAAAATTTTTTGTTCAAAAGTAATCAAAACAACAATAACCAATCAAAAAACTAGTTAATTCAGCACAGACAGCAAAATGTAAAAAAAACTATATAAACAGCTAAATAAACAGGTAAAATACAGTTTAAAAACGTTTAAAACATAATTGAATTTCTGTGAAAAAACTGATCATATCAACATTTATCATATACATTCAAATCATGAAATTCGTTTAAAATGACTGAAAATTTACTTCAACATACCCTGAACATTTTGATTACACTGTGTATAAACATTTAAAAAAATATATACCTGAACAACCAGTTCCACCCTTTGATGTTATTTTACCATTCCCTTTAAATCCTGGAGCACACCCACAGTAAAATGAACCATCAGTATCAGTACAAGTTCCACCATACTGTTTGCTTACACAGTGATTTATATTTTCTAACAAGCATTCATTTATATCTTAAATAAAAATATTGTTAAAAAGATACATAAAATATAAAATTTAAACTCAACACAAAGCAAATTTCATAAATCATAAAATATAAAATTTAAAAATTTTAGAAAATGCTTCAGGCTGTAAATACAGTACACATTTTGTATTTTTTCAAGATTGTTTTATTTTTTACCTTTAAATGCATTCAAGTCTAAAGCAAAAAAAAAGACTTTGCTAATAACAAATAAAAGTCTAATTGGATGATAGTAAGAGGGGTCACAATGTTTACCAGAGTTTTTAAAAAATGAAACCACAGATGTCATTTTCCAGCAGAAATAGTTAAGAGAGAATTGAAGAGAGTTCTGGAGAACCCTATTGTAAGACAATGACAGGAATTTTGTCTAGACCACAAGCCATATCTAATTGTATCTAATTGAGATATGACTTTAACAACGGAAGTTGTTAAAAGTCTAACAAACAGTTCAGCCTTATCTTTGGAACAGGTAATTAAATCAAACCTGTGAATGAGAGATGGAATGTTAGACCTATCTTTGTTAATGACATTGTTGAAGATTTTCCAAAAGTCTCTTGAGCCTAACTTCTGAGATAAGATACAAGATTTTGTGAACTGAGAATAATGGAGCTTAGCATCAGACAGAACCTTTTTAATAGTTAAATAATAAATAGTTAAACTGTGTTTAATTATGAACATTTTAAGTACTTGTTGAAATATTTTGAATGTTTATTAAAAAAGTTATTTGAATTTTATTATAAACGTTTGAAAGAAAAAATTTAAAAATAGAAAAACTTGAATATCAAGCATAAAATACATATTGAAAGAGTTTTGAAGATGATCCTTACTCAGGGCACCCTCAAACCTCATATACCGCTGAGAATATTGAACGTGTGCGAGCCATTATTGAAGAAAATCTACATGCAACACATGATATATTTGAAGCCCTGACATCGATTAATTCTTTTACAATCAACAAAATCATTTGCAATGCAAGGGATGAGTCGTGGTTTGATTTGAGACAAGTTAGACACAAGTCAGCTAATGCTAGTTGGGTTCGTGAAGGTGAAAGTCCAAGACTATAGTAAGATGTGATAGGTTTCAGGCAAAAAGCATTTTTTACATTGTCTTCAAAACAACAGGTGTTGTTCATTTGGGTTATGTTGAAAAGGGAGACACCATTACTAGCGAATATTATATAAAAAATTGTTTGAAACCTCTTGTATGCGAAATAAATAAGCAAAGACCTAAAACAGGCACTCACAATCTTAAATTTCTCAATGATAACGCTCAACTCTATGTAACTCAAACCGTCACAAATTGTCTAAACCAAGCTGGAATTACAATAATTCGCAACCACCATACTCAGGAGACTTAGCTTTATCCGATTATCGGCTATTAGACTTAATAAAAAAAGTCTTGATGACGATACTGACGTCAAAAGCCAAAAAACCCACATAACAAAACTACTTGAAAGTAGGGGAGACCGGGGTTGGTTGCAACAGGGGTAAGATGCAACAATGCGTTTTAAAGAATAATTTTTACATATAATTTTTCAATCATTTTTACATTATATAACTATAATTCTGACATGCAAGTTATAAAAAACTTATAGTAATAAATTTAAACATTTAAAAGTTATTGATAATTGTTTTTTCTCTATATAAATTTCTAATTTTCGTTTCAATGTTTTTTTGGGTTTTACAAAAAACTGAGAATTATATGACAATAATAAAATAATAGTAAGTTAAAAAAATCTTTTTCAAACACAAAAAGTAAAAAAAAATTGATTTTTTTAATATGATTAATTGTATGCATTGATTAGAGTGATCATGATGCCTACAGGGTAAGTTGCATCAAATTGCTCGGGGTAAGTTGAATCACAAAAGAACTGCAGATTTTATTGATTTTTACGCACTTTTCTAGTTATTTCTTAAATAATGGACGTTTTTTAATAACAAGACAGCAAAGAAGTTTTTGAAAAAAAATTATAATTTTAAATGTAACGTACATATATATGTTATATTTATAAAGCATATGTATATATGTCTTTGAATATAAAAGATAAGTAAATATTCTATGCTTATATTTATATATACAGTGTATATATAAATATAAACATATTTATATATATAATTATATATATATATAATTATATATATATATATATATATATATATATATATATATATATATATATATATATATATATATATATATATATATATATATATATATATATATATATATATATATATACATTTATATACATACATACATAAAAGTTATAATTACATTATTAAAATATTATTATTATTAAGTAAAACATTAATAGATATAAATAAATGTAGCAATTTAGACTAAATTATATAAAATGATTTTTGTAATGTGTTTTTTTATTGTTATTTGATTGAACTGTTATTTAGAGGTTTAATAAAAATTGTAAATGCGAACTTACAAGAGAAAAACTGAAAGAGGACTTTATCCAAAAGAAGTAGTAGTAGAGGCAGCAAGCCACATTATTGATGGAAGAGTAACATCAGTTCGTGCATCAGCAAAAAAGTTTGGAATCCACTACTCGACTCTTTCTTGTTATATAAAAAAAGTTAAAAAAGCTGTTGATAAGGGAATGCCACTACCTTATCCTGGATATAAAAAGAATCAAGTTTTTACTTATGAACAAGAAATAGCTATTGCTTCATATATATCAATAGCTTCTGATATCTATTTGGATTATCACCATATGAAACAAGAAAGCTTGCATTTGAATGTGCAGTAAAGTATGGTATTATTTTTCCCAAATCGTGGTTAAAGCATTCCTAATTGGATGAGAAGGTTTTTAAACCGACATCCAAGATTGTTTATCAGAACTCCAGAAGCAACAAGTCTTGCACGAGCAACTAGCTTTAATTGTGCTAATGTAGATGTTTTTTTTTCAAAAATTATCAAATGTTTTAGATCACCACTGTGCAAAAACCAAACAAAATAATTGCTTGTAAAGGTATTAAGCAAGTGGGTGCATTAACTTCTCAAGAGCGAGGGACATTAGTGACAATGGTAATAGCCGTAAATGCATATGGCAATAGTGTGCCTCCAATGTTTCTTTTTCCAAGAAAGAAATTCTTTGATCACTTTATTCGTGATGGGCAAAATGATTGCATTAGTACTTCGAATGGATCAGGCTGGATGAATGAAGAGTGCTTTGTTACTTACATAAACCACTTTATTCAACATGTAAAGCCATCAAAAGAAAGCCCTATGTTATTACTTTTAGACAATCATCAATCTCATTTATCTAATCAATTAATAACATTGTGTAAAGATAATGGTATAGTTTTCCTTTCTTTCCCTCCTCATTGCTCGCATAAGTTGCAACCTCTAGATAGATCTGTATTCGGACCATTTAAAAAATGCTTAGCTAATGCACAAGACTCATGGATAAAAAGTAGTCCAGGGAAAACAATGAGTATATATGATTTACCAGGAATTGCAAAAATAGCATAACAACATTCTTACACAACAAAATATATCTTTTGGTTTTAAAGTGGCAGAAATATTGGCATATAATAAGGATATATTTTCAGACGCAGATTTTGCTTCATCATTTGTTACGGATCGTCCAGCAACCCAATCTAATGCAGCTATTGATATTAGTATATCAACTTCAACCTCAGATGCAATTCCATCTCCGGTTTCAAAATTTTCCCCTGAGGTTGTAAGACCGCTACGAAAAGCACAACCCAGGAAAGAAATACTCACTAGATCAAAGAGAAAGCATACAGAAATACTCACAGATACACCAGTAAAACAGCGTCTTATGGCTGAAAAATAAATTAGTTCTAGAAAGCGAACTCTGCTAGTACTTCTGCATCAAAAAAAAAAAAAAAAAACAATAAAAAAATATAATTGTTGACTTGAAATGTAATGAAACTCTTTAGTTTCTTTTATGCTAGTTTGTTTTTTTATGAGCCTTTATTGCTTGGAATTTTTTTTATTTTTGTTATCTAAGTTAGATTATTGTTTATTTTTATGAAAGTTGTGTTTTATATTATTTATAAAACTACTCTTGCATTTTTATAAATTGATTTAATGTTTACTGAATAACTAAAGGAAAACTTTTTAAAAAAAACACTTAGTATTAAGTTGCAACTTGCCCTGTGCACTGTTGCAATTCGCCCCGGTGCGGGGTAAAATGCAACATATTTTTGATTCACTATTGCAGAATAACTAAATTTGATATTTTATTTATCAATGTTGGATTAATACTTAACTAAAATCTATTTTATAACCCTGAAAAATAAAATCGAAAAAATATATATTTAAAGGGTATAAATTACGTTTTTAAAATTTTGTTGCAACCAACCCCGGTCTCCCTTATACCAAAAAAGAGTATAAAAAAACGTTTCACAAATGGCTTGAAAGGATGCAACTTTGTATAGATAATGAAGGACATTATTTTGAACATTCAATAAAATAAAATTTAAAAAACTCTTTTTTTTATAGGGGAGTTCTACTTTTCCTAACAACCTAAGTAGCTTTTAATATTATGGCATGACACTAAAATATATTATATGACAATAAAACACCTTATATTAATATTTTATGACACAAAAATAACTTTAACTTAAAATAGCCTATAACATCCAGTACTGCAATATTTGAATGTGAAGATAAGTTATCCTCAGTAATGTTGATCCTGGTCATAACATTAAAATAATCCTATATTGGAATAGGTGAGTAGTTGTGGTAAAAATAATTTACCTAGGAGAAGAATAATTCTTTGAAATTCTTAATTTAATTATTGGTAAGGGTGGGAAGAGCTTGTTAACCTTAAACAGTACCTTTCATAATGGTATTTTCACAACAAAATCACTCAGTTCTGATCTGCAGACTTTACTAAATAAAATATTCAGTGCTATCATTAAAAAAGCATTTGAATGAGAAATACAAATTATACAAATTATATAAATACAGGTAGGTATAAAGGAGTAGCAAAATTATGAACTAGTGTCT